GAAATACATGCTTGTCGGTGTCTTGTCCCTTGTTACGAAAAGTTATTGGGATTGGATACTTGGCCGGTATTGTATGCTCAAACTTGCTCGTCTATGTTCAATTCCATGTTACGAAGAGTTATTGGGAGTGAACCGCTAGACGTGTAGGCGAGAGTGTCAATTCCGAACCGAACGATCAATTGTCTGGCTTTACGTTGCGAACTTGAATAAATTATCCCCGACTCCCTAGTTTCCTTATTATTATCTAGTTGGTATTTTAGGTTTATGCTTTTATGCTATTTCTTAGTTGATAATATATTCCTCCCCTATCTGATTAGAGTGTGTAGGATTTATTTTCTTTTTCTGTGCAATCAATACCAAACTAAATCCGAACAGCCTTCCTTGTGAGATCGACCCGAGGTCGGGAGTCATCCCGTACTCGGTAAAAAATATAATTTGCTACAACATTCGGGCAACAGAGTAGTCAAATGGAGCAGTCTTGGACAACAAGGTAACACATTTATATAAAGGGTGAGGTATGATCACCACAACTCTACACACTCTAAGTACTCTAGACTAATATATATATATATATATATATATATATATATATATATACCTTTCATCATCATCTTCGTCCCTGTTTACGGACTTAAGCATCAGAGCTTCTACGCCAGGACCACCCGACACTATCTTTTAGGTTATTCACTAGCTTGTAAGCGGTTCAAAGGACGTTCAGTCGGGTCAATGTCATTTGCACTACCACCTAAGTTCTTCCACTACACTCCCTCCCACTTGCATTAAAATATTATTCCCTTTAAGAAATCGATTGTAAGGAGTACTGTACTTGTTTTATAAGTTAAGCAGTTACTTCTTTATATATAAGTAGTGCCTAAGTTTATCCTATAGAGTACTGAAAATACATTGATCAATATTAGGCCCAACATACTCCTGTAACATTAAATAATTCCATAATCTCGTACCTTTCTTTGACCAAGGAGGCTCTAGGTGAGATGGGTTGCAACACCACCAATTGGAAAATTACTGCCCCTAGTTCATTTCGCAGACGACTCTTCACCATCCAACTTTTACCGATCTGGGAAGATGAACTACAAGTTATCCAACACCTTAAGATACCACTCAACACAGCCTTGGTTCGTTTCCTACTCCAGGTGTAGAAGGACTTAATTATAGATATAAATGAAAAGCAAGACAACATGTTGTGAAGCAAAAGCCTCATTTTTATTATGAACCCAAAGAGAATTTATTACATAAATAATCTCCATAAGAGAGGAGAAAACCTTTTAGCCTCTCATACTGGAGGCAAACACTCGTACACACATAAACTTGCAAAAAGAAAAGGATTACAACTTATTTCACACAATTCACAAACTTGAAAAGAAAGATTACACACAACTCACATACTTGTTACAACTTTTATCTGCATAATGAGAAAACTGAAGGGAATGTTCGATGCCATCTGCTTTTTCCAAATCTTGTATTTATAGAGGTTTGAAGTTCCTCTATTATTGCTCCACCGTGGTAGGTGAGTGGAAGCTGCATGGATCATATGTTCTAGGGTTCGCTTTCTTAAGTTATTTTCTCAATTTTTATTTTTCACATGGTTGCTGTCTCTCGAGGGAACTAAAAGCTTTTCTTTCATTAAAACCAATTTCCAAATTTGAATGAGAATCGAGAACTAAATGCTTTTCTTTCATTAAAACTAATTTTCCAATTTTGAATGAGAATCGACTTAGTCAAAGACTTTTTTTTTTTTTTTTTTTAATTTTTTTTGAGATGGATATGATTCATCACGGATGGACAAGAGATCAAACTATCAATTCCTTTTAAAACATAAAGTTTCGTTTGCAACCTAAACAAAGTTGAACTAAATGTTGAGAACGGTTGTAGGGTGATTTCTGAATCATTTGATCTTGGCTGATGAATTATACTAGTACATTTGAAATGCATTGAATGGACCTGCGAGATAAATTTATTTTATACTAACCAAGTAATACATTAGACCTTGGCTATTACTGCGTATTCTTAATCCATAAGATAATAACGAGCACGTGCACTCAGTAGATATTTCTTTGATTCACCAAAAAGTGCAATTCATTCTGCTGGATCAATGGTCTGAGTGAGTTGGGAAATAATGATGTTTGTATGGTGTGTTGTTTGGTTACTTACAGACACCATTGTTGGTGCACTAGTTAATGATGTCCTGAAATAAGCTTAAGCAAATTATTATGCTAACCCTGCAGATAGATTAAATTTTGACATAACAATAAGGTTGAGTGGAACTAGTTCTAGAAATAAAAAGTTAATTAATTAGACTTTCAGTAGCTAAATTAATTAATGAACATTATATTTTAAACATAGGGAGGTATATAGAGTCGATAAATCTAGAGCCAAATTATATGTAATTTGGAAACTAAATAGAAAGTTCAATTATACTCTTTTAATGGAATAATTTTTTATTCATGTGTGAAAGGTGTAGGTGCACCAGAGCCTTAGAATCATTATCACACATGGGAAGTCCTTATTTAGCACATCTTTAAGGTCACTATTGTAGCCTATAAATACACCAAGTCCCCTTCATAAATCACAAGGATATACATGCAATCTCAAGAGATAAAAACACACCCCATCATGTGAAATCTTAAGAGAGATATTGTTTGAGAAGTTTTAGGAAAGAGAGAGAAAGATGGTGTTTTTCAAACACAAGGTCTTCTTCATTCTTTCCAAATACTGATGAAGTAAGATTTATGAAGGGGAAAGTCCAAGCAAGGTTGCCCACAAAGACGAGTTTGAAGAGATGTCGAGACATATATAATAAGACTTTCAGGTCATGTGGCAGAATCGCCCATCCAGTTCCGTATACCGTGTAAGTCTGTGCAGAGTCGAAAATTTAAATGGTACAAATTCAATTCTAATTTTAGATTCGTTGTGCTTAGGATTATTTTCGTAGATATTCGATCATACAGAATAACCGATTTTCTTCATCGAACCCCAACAACACCATGTTCAAGTGGATGTCTTGCTTTCTTCTTTTGATTTTTTAAAAATTTTAGCTTTTTGGAATTTTCCTTTTCTTTGGGTTCTTCTCGGGACATATTTATTCTTCTTTACTCAAAATACTTTACTAAATAGTGGTTTCTCTTGATATTCACAACTTGGACACAATCTTTCATTCCATCTTCCGACATGCAACATGTTACAAGCCTTCTTTTTGTGTTCTCGGTAGTTAACAATCTATTTTCCCATAAGAGTTTTTTCTTATTTTCAAATATCTCAACGGCAAACTAAGAAGTACTTCATGTTAATGTATTAAGTAAGAAGGTTCTACTTTTAGAGTTTTGATAAATTTTAAATGGATACTTGACCTTATCCATTTCTGTAAGACACATCATATCACCCATGCTTGCTTGGTTGAGATTTTATCTTCAGACATGAAGGAATACAATGGTGTCGCCTCAATCATTTTAAAATAACTTGAAGTCTTCTTATCTGGTCTTTGCAGCTTGATAAAATAAAAAGCATGATGCCATCCATTTTTACTTATTGTTTCTGGAGCTATAGATATGAATTTTAACTTTAGAATTTCACCTCTTTTCAAGTGTGGATCGTAATACTAGGTCTCGTGATCTGCATTAACAATCCAATTTGGTAATTCTGATACTTCTGCAAAATTTGGTAAAACTATGAATACAAAAGCTAAGGCTCCAAACTTCATCCATTTTCAAACTCGAACGGGCCCTACTCCTTCAATTGCCCAAACACATGGATATTTTCCTATATGATCGACGATAAGTTGTCGGTCTGGACATCTCTTCTGGTTACTAGATCTTTATCTTTTGATTATGTCCAACCAATGACAGTCAGGACTAGTAATATCAATCCCCTTTCGACTTGTCTGTGGCTGGAGATTAATATTTTTCTCATTTACCCTAGAGGCATCGGGTTGACTCGAATTGTCTCGAACTAGTTCCTGATGTTCGATTTCTTTTTCTTTTTCCTTTTTCTCCAGAGATTGGAGAACTTGTATGACTAGAGTAATATTTAGGTTGTGACGCCTTTATTTCATATTTTTCTTTTCGATTCACCGATGGTGATCCAACCTTGAGCAAAGGATTTTGATGGGTATCCCATAGAAGGGTATTATTTTCCTCATACATTTTATTTCACTTTCGACTTTTTCCAAGTTGATTCCTTGTACTTGGCCAAGCGCTATTGCATTAAGCCGCAACTGCCCAAAACTTTTTTCCACCTCCTCAGTGTTTTCTTGGAGACGCCTAACTTGTCGTTAAGGAAAGTTGTTTTAACAACCATCTGCCATATCTCATTATCCATATGAGCGGCTACAATTAAGAAAATCCGAATTAACTTAATCATGGCTACTGTCGAAAAGGTTTCCTCATGATCGATCATCTCTTTCTAAGCATACCTCTTCGCAACAAGCCTAAACTTAAAGGTCTCAACCTTCCCATCTGATCATCTCTTTCTCTTGTATACCCACTTGATTGGAGCCCATAGACTCCATTTCAGCTTTCATCACATCTTGCCACGAAACTGCATCCTTATCCTGGAGTGCCTCACCAAATGTCCAAGGATCCGATTCTAGTTCAATCGCGACTAAGTCTGATAACTCTCCGAGGAACATAAATCGGTCGGGCTGTCTCACAACCCTCTCACTGCGACGAGGTACTATCTGCATAGATACACGATAGTGTCGCTTGTTGCAATACTATATGGTGTTGCAATATTATATGGTGTATATTTTGCACACTCGGTACAGGACTAACGACCTCACCCCTCAACTCCTCTAAAACAAGTCTACTTGAGAGCTTGTAGTTTATAATATAATATTCTTTCAAGAATCTAGAGTTCGTACTAACGATCATATTTTGATCTTTGAGATTATAATATAATCGAATTTTCGTTCGCAGTTTTGGGGTGGATAAAGTGCATAAACTTATATAGTCTCTTGTGAACAAACATGCTCTTAGTTTATATTTGCCATTAGAGCTTAGTTAATGGGTTGCAAACTGTAATCAGCCCTCAAATATGATCCCAAAATCCCAAATTCTTGAAACAGGTGAGACAGATCTAAGCTCTCTTTCCAACTCAGCTCACATTTGGCTTTCTATTTCAGTAAAATTCATTGATTGAGTTTGATAGGCCCCCCATCTCTCTCTATCTTACTCCTCACTCACCCTTTCCCTCAATCTTTTCTAAGTTCATCATATTTCTCCATCCTCACATTTGCATTCACTCCAATCCGTCCGGCATTGCAATTTCTCAATGAGATCCACAAAACCCTCAAAACAAACAGTCACAGCCCCTCCTCCGAGAACCTCGCTCTCCTCCCATCTGGCTATGGTGGAGTTGAAGCAGCGGATACTCACCTCCCTCTCCAAGCTCTCCGACCGCGACACCCACCAGATCGCCCTCGACGACCTCGAGAAGATCATCCTCTCCCTCTCCACCGATGCCGTCTCTATGCTCCTCAACTGCCTCTACGACGCCGCTGCCGACCCCAAGCCCCCCGTCAAGAAGGAGGGCGTCCGCCTCCTCGCCGTCCTTTGCGCCGTCCACACCGACCCCGCCTCCACGCACCTCACTAAGATCATCGCGCACATTGTCAGGAGGCTCAAGGACTCCGATTCCCAGATCCGCGAGGCCTGCTGCGATGCCATCGGCTCGCTGGCGGGCCTGTACCTGAAGCCCGGCGGTGGAGGGGGCGACGGAGTCGTGTCTCTCTTCGTGAAGCCACTCTTTGAGGTGATGAACGAGAACAACAAAGCCGCCCAGGGTGGAGCCGCCCTTTGCCTGGCGAAGATGGTGGAGTGTGCCTCTGACCCGCCGTTGACTACCTTCCAGAAGCTCTGCACGAGGGTTTGCAAGTATCTCAACAGTCCCAACTTCACGGCCAAGGCTTCTCTATTGCAAGTCGTGTCCAGTTTGTCACAGGTTTGTACTCACCTGATGTCTGAGATTGACTTGGCAGTCAGCTATTATGTTGTCTAATTTACTGTTTCTTTCATACGCAATATTCATCGAATCTTGGTTGGTGTATTTTTATTTTATGTTATTGGCTGGTGATGACAAATTGAGAGTAGAAAATAATTTTAAATCATTGCCCATTGATTTTACATGGCCAAAATTGATAGTTACAGAGTTGCTGAGAGGCTTGAGTAAGCATTAGTTTATGTACTAAACAAAGAAAACTTTGTTACACTTCCTTGACAATATTAGTTTAAATAAGACTAAAACAACATTTGTGTGAACTGAACATAGTTTTTTGCACAAGGGAGTTGATTTTTTTCCTCTATCTACACATTCTGCATGCTTTTATAGGTAGGAGCAATTGCACCACAAAGTTTGGAACCATTACTTCAGAGTATTCACGAGTGTCTTAGCAGTTCAGATTGGGCAACAAGGAAAGCTGCCGCCGATATATTAATTGTCATATCTTCTAACACTAGCAACATAACTGCAGAAGTAGCAGCTTCCACTGTGAATGCTCTTGAGGCTTCTCGATTTGACAAGGTAGGTATCAAAATAACATCCCTTTGAAAACTTTTAACATGTTTTCTGTAAATGCTACGAGTCCTTGAGGCCACTCATACGAACATGTCTGGTCTAGTCCTTTCTGCTTCGTTTCTTGTTTATTGCCTTTTAATTTGTCGTTGCGGAATCTTACTCGGTCCGCAAATGACCCTCATTTATAGTAATTTCAATCTTGTTGGCTATGACAAAAATTCACGAATAGATGAAGGGAAGGGAATAGCCATGAGCTTATTCTAGCTTAGTCAAAGCTGGTACAGGTGCCTTGGAACCCCTTTGCTCGTTCTAAGTGCTCGAATAGGTAAAAAATGACCTATTCGATAATTTTATCTCTTGGGTTGGATAGTTGGAAAATTACTTAAGTTGGTCCGTGCTGCTAGTCTCATTTTTATAGTTTTGTCATGGGGTTATTTCGCTTATACTTATGCTATTCAATAATTAATTTTGTCGATGGGATTATCTTATATATTAATGCTAATACTTGAGGGCAGAATATACTAGGTTTGGTACTCAACTATGATGTTGTATCCTAGTACTCAAGTGTTGTATTTTCCATTTCTTTGGTTTCCTATTTGCACCAACATTTGTTTATGACTGGTTCACTTTATGCTTTTCATTTTTCATGTATTAAATCAACTTAAATGGTGTGAAGGTCAATGGCTCATTTTGCAGTAACTCTTGTGCATCTTTGCTCAAAATTGTTTGTCAAATGATTTTGAGAAGGTCAATCTCCCTCCCATCCATGCTTTTCCATTTTTCAAATGCAATCAGTTCTCACTTAAAATAGATATTTTGAATTCAACTGAATGGAGGACCTAGTTGTAAGGATATTTAGTTGCTCATTATTGTGGCATTATGTTAAACATTTTTCCAGGTAAAACCGGTTAGGGAGAGTATGACCGAGGCTTTGCAGTTGTGGAAGAAAATCGCAGGCAAAGGAGATGGATCTTCAGATGAAAATAAAGCATCATCTCATGGTGGGCATTTTATCAAAATTTTTCCTATTCAATTCATATTCAATGGGAATTCAGTTCATTCCTTCCGAACGCAATTCATCTTGTAATGCTTAACCCTTCAGATGATGACAATTCGGAATATGCTGACCCATCCGACAGAAAAGAGCTCCCTAGTTCTGGTGACAGAGGAAGTGCTAAATCAGTGAAACATTCACCTCGCGGCTCTTCTCCAACTGACCCGAATTCGAAAGGCAAAGGCAACAACATTTTGGACAAGGCAGTAGGGATCCTAAAGAAAAAGGCACCGGGACTAACAGACAAGGAATTGAATCCCGAGTTCTTCCAGAAACTCGAAACCAGAGTTTCAGATGATTTACCTGTAGAAGTGGTTCTTCCTCGTCGATGCGCAAATCCTTCAAACCCACAAAACGAAGAGAAGTTGCAATCAAATGCCGATCCAAATAGGACCAGGCTTAACTGCCAAGCTGGCGATGGAGCCATCAAAACAAGACATGAAAATGTGGAGAGACGAGCTATAGGTGATTATAATCAGAGAGACCCATCAAATACTTATCCAGATTTTTCGAGAACTCCCGGACAACCTGAAGGATTTATGAACAACAAAGGTAACTGGATGGCTATCCAGAGACAGCTGTTGCAGCTCGAGAGACAACAGGCTCATCTCATGAACATGCTGCAGGTGCACATTCCATCTTTTATCTTAAAATGACAAAAAATTCCAGAACCCGCATTTCGCTTATGACCTTTT